CATTTCTCCCAATTCCTGCTTCTTTTCTCCATTTCTCCTGCTCCTTTCCTCTCCTCGATTCCTCTGGATTCTTCTGGGGCAGGAGAGGAGCAGTAGGGGAGGGGGAGGGCAGAAGAAGAAGCATAAGTTTCCAGACACAGCCAAAATTTCATCATTGCTCTGAATTAAAGTGAAATTAATATAATTTCACAATATTTCACTTGACTGGACCTTTATTTGAGGATTCCTTATTAATTATCACAGTCTTTTTTTCAGGTGTTAAGTTAAGACCTAGATGTCTCTTATGTGAATTAAATGACTTGTTCATTTGTGAGTGCCCTGTAAGGAGCATGTACAGAATGTGCCGTTCACATGCACGCACATATTCGCTAGAGAGCATTTCAGCAGCATTTGAGTTGAAAGAAAGGTCACAGACACCCCAGTAGGGGATACTGCTTGGATCTTGCTCTGACTGACCTTTCGGTGGTGACATTAGTTTCAGAATTTTTAAAGTACTCCCTCTGCACTCAGTTCCCCCCGGCTCTCAGTAACCTTATCATACAGCCTGAGAGGCAGCCTACCACCAACCACTTCTCCATGATTGCTTCTTTGTTGCAGTTGTACTCTTGATAAGAGCTTATTTAAATAGTCCTCACCTGATAACAAAGTGGTGAGAAGCAGTGAAACTAAAACTGCATAGCAAAAAAAAAAAAACCCGTAATATTTCATTTGTTATTTTGCTGTATTTATTTGCTGCAATAAAAGTTCTGCAAATGCTTAATCAATGTTATAGTGACATTGATAATGTTGTATCAGATATAGAAATCAGAAATATAAGGTTGCATTAAAGGGCCTGTATCCTACATTTTTCTTGTATTTTAGTTTTCCTTAAGGTCCACTTACAACATTTGTGTGTTTTTACGTACCAAAAAAAGTAATAATTAATTTTTACATTGACCATTTACCAACCTTTCCTTATCCCTTACAATTAAACAGGCTTTTTTTTTCAGCACTCAGAGCTAAAACACTCCTTCAGAACTTCAGTAAGAATGGACAGGCCTAAACTGCTGTAAGCTGAGTAGGTGGATGTATGTAAATGAGTTGGCATCGCAGAAACAGTGATTACAAAACGAGCTGTTTTTGCAACATGGTTTTTATATATGCAACATGGACTGAGTAGTGAAATAGGAATTTTGCACTGCAATGTAAGTGCAAAAAATGTAACGTGAGCTTATCGTTTATTACAATACAGGGTAAACTTGTTCACTTAAACATAAAACACCAGCATAGTTTGAATATCAAAACATGGAAAATTCATTTAGATGTAAATTAACAGAAAGCAGCAAGACCACAACAAATGCTGGAAGCTTAGTTCTTCCTTTTTTTTTGCACATGCTCAGTGGTTTTAACATCACCACTGTTTTGATTAAGAAATACATATTTTTAAGAAACGGCAACTGCAGTAATACTCATTCACTGAGCATAACATTTTAAGTTGGATGGCAAAAAAATACATAGTTGATGATACAACGCATATGATTTTGATCTGCAAAATATTTCTGAACATTGATATTTGTGCCATTTCACAAAAAGGATAGTTCTTGTAGAGAAACTTATTCACTGATTTTCTTTGAAATGGTGGTGATAGAAACCAGGGGTCGCAATATCTACAATGAAAATAAAGCTATTTTAATGTAATGTTGATAGTGGAACATTAAAAAAAAATAGTTTTTTGGGGACTACGTGCTTTTACCATGCTCTGCATGTACCACTCTGCCATGAATAGCTTTAAAAAAATAATTCTAAGCTAAAAGCTTATCTCAAAACGATTATAAAACAATGTCTCAGGCTTTAGGCAGTGTAATTTTTAATCATTTCATCTAAAAACTTTCTGTAATGTAGCTTTTGGAGGCATTAAACTCTTAAGAGGTTGGTTCCCATCACCACCACTGTGAACGGTTCTGACTCAGTAAGTTTCTCTAGAACAGAATATTTCACATGTATCCACTCTGAATGCATTTGTTTACTACTTAACCAGTGAATTATACAGAACTTCCATTTTAACTGTGATGATCATATGAGACTGACTTGCTGACACAAGCTGCACAACACTGAGCATCTTCATGATTTCCTATTAGATGCAAATCTTCCAAAAGTGCAGATGTGAATGTTTATCTTCATAAATTGATGACTGCTGTTTTCTTGCAGCTCCACTGTTTTTCCACAGACCATAACATCTTTGTTTTGGCATCAAAGAGTGCATCTGGAGTTCAGCCGTGCTGTTCTTCTCAATACTGAGTAATTCTAGGTGGAAATGTGCTGAGTGGTGTTATGTAAATAGTATGGCACAGTTGGTTTTGGTAGACTGTAGGCCAGTTTGTGTTGCTGTAGTGCTGCAAGGGAAAGAGTGGAGAGATGCAGGTTTTGCCTTCCATAAATGATTTGCTAAAAGGCTCCCAACAGAAATCGCACTTGGCCTACTTTCAGACTGAGTAGTCCTGGGGCAGTAAGCCACTACAGGAGTGAGGCAGCAGTGGAAAACCAAACAGAGGTGTACACGCAGCCATTTCTGTATATTCATAGAACTATGGGCCCACAGACAGATCCTTAGGGGTGAAAAGACTGCTGGTGTTTTACATTTATATAAGCCTGCGGGGAGGCCCAAACTGTGTGGAACAAGTGAAGCCAGCTCATGCTTATTAACACTACAATAGATTAGAGAGAGCTGTGGTGAATGAAAGCTGTCAGGTCAGAATAGACAGCTGTGGAGTTGAGCTAGAGGACAATGGTGCAGGCTCTTTAAGGCTCAGTCACTCTGTGTGCAGAGGAGCATCCTGCTTATGTAACACTGCTCATGTACTATGACTGCTAACCTTTACAGACAGCTTAGGAAGGCATACACAGCTATACTGTGATGAGCAGTGAAGTGAGGGTATTATGCATGTTTTCACTGCAAGTGACCCATGAATTCGTGGTCACAGTCAAGTCAGAGTCACAAATGTATAAATAGCTGCTGTAAATGAGAAGAACCACTGTGGCCTTAAAACCACTTTGTTTAATTTGTGGTATACATTTATGATCCATACATTTATTATTCATGCTTCATAGACTTTTAACTACACATGTCCAAAAGTTTGCACACATTTGTTCATCTAAAGTTGCTTCTGAAATCAAATTTGTCCTCCCCTTTGCTGCAGTAATAGCCTCTACTCTTCTAGGGGGACTTTACACTATATGTTGGAACATTGCATGAGGATTTGATTGAACTCTGCCACAGTCATTAGTGAGGTCAGGTACTGATGTTGGATACTAGCTCTGGATCACCAACCCCACTTCAGCTCACCCCAAAGGAACTGGATGGTGCTTCTTCACTACAGAGAGCGCAGTTCCACTTCTCCACAGTGCAATGTTGGGGGCTTTATACCCCTTATGCCGACTCTTGGCATTGGGCATGATGACCTCGTTCTATTGGCATTGCCTTTCTTTGGAAACTATATAAGCTGTGTGAGCAATGTAAGCACCTTAAAGTAACCAGATACACTAATTTATGTAGGGTGTCTGGATACTTTTGGACATTTAGTGTATAATCAATCTCTGCACTATTCATTTATTAGAAACATCCAGCTTGTATTGTCAATGCATGAAGTCCAACTATCTGAGCTCCACTATATATAGTAGGTGTACAATTACAAACTCTAGGCTGTTTTCATGCCCAGTTTATTAGCCACCCTCTACCCTGTTCATCATTGGTCAGTTGCTGACCATAGGACTTCTGTTGACCACATATTATTTGGGTGGTGGACCATTCTGAACACAGCAGTGTCACTGACATAGTAGTTTCAAACTGCATGCCAGCAAGGTGGAGCTACAGGGTAGATGTTTCTAATAAAGTGGCCAGTAAGTGTACACTGTATGAGCAGTTTTTAATCCTTGGGTTACAAACATTGACTATGCAAACAACTAGGACTAGGAACTAGGACTGTCTCTGTTGATGATTTTGGTGATTAATTGAGTAATTATATACACAATTTACAACAGCAAGTTCTTAATTTTACTTCATATACATGCAATTTGAAACTACAATCACACATGCATTCCTGCTGGTGCGGGTCTTCTTAAGCACTAATAGCTTCTCATTGTGGAGAATCTTCACACTGCTGAACATGGCTTCCCTGTTTTTCATTTAACCTCTTATTCTCCAGGGCATATTTTGGTTTTTCCATCTGAATTTACATGACCAAATCGTGAGGCAAATCATTCAGTAACTGCATGAAATAAATGTAAATTTTTATTTTATTTATTTTTTTTGTAAAAGTTCCCCTCAAATGAACAGAACATTTGTTTTATGATCATACACATATTGCTATATGCTTACAATTTACTGCTGAAAGCCAAAAATCTTAGATGCTCTTTGTATAGTTTTATAAAAATAATTTTTACAGAGTATATCACTGAAGAGACACCATCTGTTTATAGTTTATAGCCCAGATTTGTGGAAAAATGGGTCAACTTTCAGTAGGCAAAAAAATAGTGAGTTCAGCTTCTATTATAAGGGTTTAAAATTACATTACTCGTCTATTTGACTGAAAAGTAGACAGTTATAGCTCTCATATGACACCCACTTTTTGAATGTAGCTTATGAAATATGAAAGTTATGAAGAATATGACAAAGTGCGTTTTGGAACCACCGGCGGTTCCAAGGAGTTGAAGAACTGCAAAGTAATCACTAAGCTGATTCATTGAGAATGTATATTTGTACATACCATTTTTTTTTTAAATTAAGTCACATAATCTTGACAGTCCTAGTTGGCTAGTTTACTGACCATTGACAATAATTTATTCTTGTGGAAATAATGTATGCATTTAAATCAAGTCAATTCAGTACATTACTTTTGTCAGTGTATAGACACGCAGGGGACAGAATGAAGACGGGTGACACTCACTCACTCACCACAGGGACTGCGGAGAGGACTACTGGGCGATGTTAGATTGTCACTGTGAATCTGTGTCTCTCTCTGCAGGAAGAGCACATGCCGGAGGAGGTGAATATTGATGAGCTTCTGGACCTGCAGAGTGATGAGGAGAGGACGAAAAGGCTTCAGGTGCAGTCCTGTTCACCCCACACTCTGCCAACCACAAGAAAAAGACACTTTTACATTATCATACCTTTCTTTTTAATAATTTGACCTTTTTATTCTTACAGGACATTCTCCAGACCTGTAATAACAACACAGAAGTAAGTATCTGCTGTCGTGGCAGATTTTTTTTTTCTTTCAGTCTGGTACAATGGCCCATCGTGGATAACAAAGCTGGTCTGTGCTTCACTGCACAAAGCCTCTTTAACACAACATGCCATACTGTACTTCACAGCACAGAGAGTGATTCAAACTCAGCAGTGGAGATATCAGCAGTTTTGAGTGCTCAGCATGTTGAAATGATTAGATCACACATTTGCATTCTATTCAGTTTAATGTATTGCAAAAAGGTATCATTTTTGGCATTGAAAGTGTAAGGGGCAGGATAATTCTTTAAGAGGTCACAACATATTACAGTCAGGTCTTTAAATATTTGCATGTCAACAAAGTTATTATTATTTTAGCTGTCTACTACAGCATATTAGAGTTCAAATTAAATAAGGAATATGGACTCAAATGCAAGACTTTGCATTCAGTTCAGGTGAATGTGTAGGAATGTGCAGGAATGACAACCTTTTTCATACGTAACTATCCCTACCCCCATTTTTAGGGGCTCAAAATTGAATGGACAAGTGAACATAATCATCATATAATAATAATCAAGTTAAATTGTCATTTTTAATACGTGGTTGTGCAGATTCTTTTTAGTCAATGACTGACCTGATGTCTGATAGACATCACAAGACGCTGGGTTTCTTCCCTAGTCATGCTCTTCTAGGCCTTCACTGCAGCTGGCTTGGGGTATTTTACCTTTAGTTTTGCCTTCAGTAAGTGAAATGCCTGGTCAGTGTAAGGTCAGGTGATTGATTTGACCTTGTTGCAAAACATTCCACTCCTTTGCCTTAAAGAAAGTCTTGGCTTGCTTTCACATTATGCTTCGGGTCATTGTCCATCTGCACTGTGAAGCACCATCCAATGAGTTTTACACTTCACAATTCATCCTGCTGCTTCTGTCAGTGGTCATATCATCAATACACACAATACATACAAGGGAACCAGTTCCAATGGCAGCCATACATGGTGTTCTTGATCTGGCCAAGTGTTGTTCCTTTGGGGTTTTTCTTCACCCGGGAAAGAATTCTTCTGTCATCCACCACAGTTGTTTCTGATGTCTTCCAGGCCTTTTGGTGTTTCTGAACTCACCAGTGCATACTTTCTTTTTAAGTGTTCCACATAGTTGATTTGGCCACAACTAATGTTTTTGGTATATCTCTGGTGGGTTTGATTTTTCAGCCTAATAATGGCTTGCTTTATAGCTAAAATAATAACTTTGTCAATGTCCAAATGTTTATGGACCTGACTGTTATGTGAAAACCACCAACCAATATTATCATTTGTGGGTCATTTCTGAAGTAGCTTTTCTAAAGTCCTTTTGCAATGATGAATTCAATAAAATGGCATATAATATTGTATTTGTGGAGCTTACACAATAGCCTATCTCAACTCATGAATGCAGTTAGCTCAAACATGTAAAAATTTGCTTTTTTTATAGCTGTTTTCCTACCCTTTCAGACGCCATACATGTCAGCCAAGTCTGGTGTTTCTTTAGTTTTGTGCCGGAGCTGCAAGGATAATGTTGCTAAAAAGGAATGGAAGCATATATCCACCAGAGGAGCCATGTTATATTGTCTGTAGTGCTTTAAGGAGCTTGAAAAGTAGCCTCATGAATGCAGTTAGCCCAGACATGTACTCAATTCTTGAGCTACGTTCAGGCCCTAGCAGCCGCACCACTGTAGTGGCTCTTGAGCAGAGTAGGCCTTCACCAAAAAGTAAAAAGTTTAAGTAACTGTCAACATATTAGGTGCGGGGCTGATTCATCCAGTGGATTCTGTTAGTGTGGATAGCTCCATCCATTAAAGAGATGGTTCAGCCAACAACCAAATTTAGAGGTTTTTCCCCTTACGCTGTCACATACCAAACAGCCAAAATATGTCTAGTGTCCAAAGTTTTCTTCTATAGTTTTGCCCTTGAGCTACCAGGCTAATGTAGCTACAAGTAATGGAAGCTTAAAGCCATCAATCAACCATTATAAATCATCAGAAAATCTCAAGCCATGTCCAGTTGTGAAGTAATCTCAAATAGACTTGCTTATGTGGTTTCTGACGCTGTATGATATTGGAATTGTTAACTAGCCTTGGGCCAACTTAAAAAATGTATTATCACAATAATACATAGGCCGGCCACTTCATTAAGTACACCTCCTTTTACCTGCACTCTTTGTCCATTTCATCAGCTCCACATACCATATAGGTGCACTCTGTAGTTACAATCACAAACTGTAGTCAATCTGTTTCTCTGTATACTTTCTTAGGTGCCTTTCACCCTGTTCTTCAATGGTTAGGACCCCCACAGGACCACCACAGAGCAAGGATTATTATTTTATATCATTTTCAGCACTGCAGTGACACTAAGGTGGTCATACTGTGTAAGTGTCTGTTGAGCTGGTATAAGTGGACCTGCAGCACTGCTGTGTCTGATCCACTCGTACCAGCACAACACACATTAACACACCACCACAATGTCACTGCAGTGCTGAGAATGACCAACCACCCAAATACTACTTGCTCTGTGGTGGTCCTGTGGGGGTCCTGACCACTGAAGAACAGGGTAAAAAGGGGCTAATAAAGTATGCAGAGAAACAGATGGACTACAGTCTGTAAAGTGCACCTATGTGGCAAGAGGAACTGATAAAATAGAGGCCAAGAGTGTAGGTATGAGGTAGGTGTACTCAATGAAGCGGCCAGTCAGTACATACGATAATATTATCACAATCTTGCATTAAGAAAAAATAAAAGATAATACATGAACATCTAGTGTTCTAAATGTCATTTTTAATTGCACTAATGTGTTGGTGGTAATACATTTTGGGGTTTTTCTGTCTTTGAAGATATTTTCCCTGATGGCACAGCACATCAGTCTTTATTAATTCCTAGAGTTTTATTTGGATTACTCCAGATTTAAAAAGGGAAAAAAGTCCAGGCCAAGTGGTAGACTTTCTGTGTTCTACATCACACATTAAGTATTAAACCAGGGGTGTCCAATCTTATCCGCAGAGGGCCGATGTGGCTGCAGGTTCTCACTCCAACAAAGCAGGAGGTCACTTGATGAAATGTTTGAAGACTAAGACCAACTGATTTAACAAGTAGAATAAGGTGTATTTCAGCTTGTTTGGAGTGAAACCCTGCGGCCACACTGGCCCTTTGTGGATAAGATTGGACACCCCTGTATTAAACCATGAGCTGTGAAGGTGCTCAGGCCAATTATAAAACAGCTGTACAAATGTCAAATAAAGTAAGGGATCACAATGTGACAGCTTAGTGGAACCATTCGATACCAGAGCTGCAGCTTGTTTGACTAAAATTCAGTGGTGGTGTGTGTTATCCACATAACAACATCATGCGTGTTAATTGTTGCAGTATACCTTACTGAATATCGGCACGTCTACTGGTATCTATAAAATGGACAAAAGCACATCACATGACTGAAAACGGTAGTAGCAGCCATCTTGAAGCCCAAATTTTGTGTTTTTAAAACAATTACTTTTAGTTTTCCTTTGCTGCCCTCTGCTGACAAGCAATGCAAGAACAATGAATCACTGATCCTTCCCTGCTTCATTTTGCAAAACAATTTGAAGCACTCCCTCTAACGCAGCCACAAATTTTCTGAGCAGTTTTACCAATTTAACCCAAATACATCATGGAAAATCTGCTTTTACATTGTGTGAAAATGTCATGTTATGACAAATGGAAAAATGGAAATGCTTCAACACTAGTATAGAATAAAATCTAGAATATTTTTTCTTTTCTTGAAAAATTACCATTGTAGAGATACAAGGTTTCGATATGTATTCCCTACCTACAATTAGCCTCCAAGAACTGTTTTTGCAGTGTCCTGATCTTCTCTATGATCTGCCCAGGTGTTCATAAAGGAGCTGGTCCTGAAGCTTCATGGGCTGCAGAAACAAGAGGACCTCCACAATGACGGCATTGAGCACGCTCAGCTCCATATCTTCCCCAACCGCCAGAGCTCCCCTGACACTGAGATACACTGAGAGTGCCCCTTGCTTGCATGGACCACAAGGTCCCTGCTTACCCACCACCGCCCGTCTTCAGTATTTTAACACAGACTTTAACCGAAATGCATGAAGAGCATCCAGAGGGAACTATTCCAGCACTCAGCTTGTACACAGCCACTTATCTGCACACTTTTACTGACTCTCAGTATGGCTCTCAATGCCTAGTTGTAAATATCAGTTAGGTCAGTTAGGGTCCCTGAAAGTACATGATCATCAGTCATCACAGTTTTGTGGATTTCTTTTAGCATTTTGGAGCTTTTATTTGTGAAGTATCAAAAGCTTGCTTCCACACACTTGTGTATGGTCCCTGTATGAGCTTTCACCCTCGTTGTACTGATCCCCTGTAGTGTATATGCCATGAGGAACCATCGGCCACTGTGTTTCATTGCTGATTGAAACTTTATAACTCAGACACCACACTCAAATGGTGGTCATTTTACTGTGCAGGACCAAAGATAATTTATACATTTAGTGATATAGACTGCTTTATTTAATATATATTTATGTCTTAATTACTTTTCTGTTTGCCCTGATAGTTGTTCTGTTATTTCGCCTGGTGCAAAGTGAATTTTTTACCTGGCTTAAGCTCATCACTTAGCAGACAACTTTTTTTCCATGTCAGACGAGAGTCCTTTGCTTGAAATGAAGAAAAGCTGTTATGTATTTAAATGTGATTGTGAGTGATGTCTACAACCTGTGTCAATGTCCATCTAAACAGCTGTACAGTGTATATCCTGTTCTTTTTTTTGTCTTGGGCTATTGATTCGTTGGCTGCTGCCGTTGCTACCTTGCTGCTTGTAATCACGCTCAAAACACCATGTATTTCAAACTCTGCAGGACATTCAGTAGCCAAAAGGGCAGAAATGTAGGTCAACTTATCTGGCTAATAGATTAGACCAGTTCTTTCTGAGCAGCACCCAAATCCAAAATATCTATTGAAATTCAGTGATAGAAAACGTCTTTCTGGTAAGCCACATTCAATTTTAAGTATCATAAATAAGCGGCCGATAAAACTCTAACAAGCCCATCATTCCAGTGTTTGATGTAACATCCTCAGGGTTTTTTCTACCCACTTTAAAAAAGCCTTTTTGAAATGGATTTTTTAAAAGATGTAAATTTGGTAGGAATCGATTTGTTTGTCAAAATAGCTGGATGTTCCTGTTTCAAATAAAGAGCTTGGATTTCAGTTTGTGGTTTGCAGATCATCTATGACATATGAAAAATGCACAATGTACACAAAAGCAAATCTCAACAAGATCTTGCAATTTTACATGAATTGTTTTGATGGCACCCTATAGCCGGTAGAGCACTTTTGAGATGAATTATGACATCTGCTATTGATGTCAATATAAGGGATTTTAAGGAATGGTTCACTGTAATATCATGAACCCAGTTTGTACTCAATTTCCCCATACCCCAAAAATAATAATCTATAGGACATGTTTGGTGCCCAAAGCTGGCTTGTAATGTTTCTATTTGGAACCATAATTCTGTATATAATCATTTCTTGCTTACATGGTATGGAGAAAATTGGATAAGCTTGTATTTTAGTGAACCATTCTCTTACGACTTAAGGCCCTTATTTTGTTCATGCATCTATTCATTAGAGGATCAGCAGAGGGCACCAAAGACATGAATTGCTTAAGCTGCCGGTTAAGAATAGAGATGTACTCACTGCTTTTAGCGGGTGTGGTCTGCAGCATTGTTGTTCAAAAGCTTTTGTTGTCCAGCCAAAAATTGCTCCACTAGTTGTCTAGTGTCTAGGACACTCAATGATTTTCAGGTCTTTTAAGTCATTGTGAGTTGCTTCTCAGGTCTAGTACAGTACCTGCATTTCAGCATCAGCACAATGTACACAATCTTTCAGCTGAATTCCCAGACTAAGTAGTTTTTAATTTTATAAAAGTAGTGCTGAATTATATATTGGCTATACTGGTACTGGTGTTATACAACAGTGTTTATTCCAATTTTTAATATTTTAACTTACAAAATACATTTCTTTCTGGTCTGTTCAGCTAATGTTAACAATTCTGTGTAAGATTCCTTTTGGTGTAATATTACGAGAACAAAAAAAACAGGTCTTAAAAAGTTCATCTCAGCTTTGTAAAACATACTTATAGCATAGACTAACAGTGCTCAAGAAGGCTGGCTTCACTTTATTAATATAAACTTAAATATCATCTGATACTGTGACAGATTTCAGTGATATTAGAATTTTTTATGAATCCTGCCCAGCACTGCTTTGAAGAGTTTAGAATTTAGAAGAGAGAAAGAGTTTAGAATTGTGTTTAGATCCATTGTTATATCTACCAACGATAGTTTTTCAAACAATTAAAAGATTCTAATAAATGAGCCAAAATACAAGCCTTTTATGATTATAATACTGTATATAAATGATAATTCTCTGAAGCAGCAAAGTTATGTTCATTAATAAGACCTCAGGAGTATAAATAGCTCTCTGACAGTCATTACCACAGCGGTGATCAAAGCCCTGGGCCTACAGATCTGTAGATCTAATACACCACTGTGTCTTACTGTGGAAAAACAAACAAAGGCCTCCTGTAAAGACAGTGAAGGTGTACCCAGTGACCCCAGCCTAAGCCCACCACCACCACACAGTCCTGCTCTAGTTGGAGGGTTCATGGCAGGCCAGTGTTGCCATTACAGTGGGAAAACACCTTCAGACACGGGAGGCTTGTGTTGAGGGAGGCAAGCGTCAACAAACACTCGGACGGACAAAAGGGGTCCGAAGCAAGACAGAGGGCTCTGAAACAATCTCCAGCTTTGCCTCCATTCAACCTCACTTCCCTCACAACACCGCATCATACTTGGGCTAGCCAATGGGCTGTGGCACCAGCCTCTCTTATCGATCGGGGCTGTTGGCACAAGACAGTAAATAAACAAATGAAGAAGAAAGTGCTCTACAAAGGGTAACCCTCCATCATTCTTCTTCCCAGGCTAATTAGTATCATCAGAAAGCCTGTGCTTCCCAGCGTCCCAAGGGGTGTAGGGAGTGGGGGGGGGTTGTTGGTTGGTGAGAAGGAAAGGGGATGGCCGGCTTCCTGAGGAAAAAGCATCAGCTTTGCGCTGCAAAACAGCTCAGGAAGCGTCCACAGCCGGCCCCAGGGTCCAGACGCGTCTTCGGCTGGGACAGGCACGCTTGTGTAGTTAGTCGCTCTCAATTTTACCACTACATAAGGTATACTTACCAACACTCTGACACTACCTCAGAGGCACAGGGATGTCCCATCTTTAAGACTACTGAGGACTTACCACTGTAGAGCTGATAAACAAGGTAAGAGCAAAAAGCTGGGAATGTTTGGTTAGACTGTGTGTCACTGTTGACAAAAAAGAAATGTACCTCTGTATTTCAGCCTTGTAGAACTTTGATGGGCACCTTCTGTATTAGTAATTGTGCTGGTTAAATGAATGAGGTTTTCAGCCTCAGGGATGTCAATAAGAGGCAAGACAGGTCAGGACAGCTTTCTGACATACTGATGTCTCTATAGACATACATCTGCCAACTGATGTCTAACCTTGTCTGGACTATAATGACAATTTAATGTCAGTTGCTTTAGTTCTGATGAGAATTATATATTTAGTTTTTTTTACGTTTGGCTCTAGTCAATGACTAATATAATGACTTGTAAGAATCCGACTTCTGGCCCTGATGATTCACTGATTCTTATCGGTCTGTCCGTATCTAAGGAATCTCCACACACGTTGTTTATTTAAGCGTGCCTATGACGCACACACAGCAGTCAAGTGCCCAGTGTCGCTGTTGTAAAAGACAACGTCCTGGATGTCCTTTCATATATAGCACTTAGAAGCAGAAATGACCTGTTTTGCTGGTAAATAACCCAAGGCACTAATCTGCTGTGCAGCTGACTGTTGATCACATATTGTTAGACATGATCTAAAAGTAATTTGAATGTACGTTTTTAAAAACAAAGGTTCCTAAACGGTTATAGGATGTGTGCTTTTAGGCAAATAAAAGCCTTAGTTATAAGTATAGATTAGTATTAGTATACATTATGCTGAGGAGCTTTTAAAAGAATCTCCACACTCGCATATCCCATTCATTGAAAGGTTCTCTAGAGGATCAGAGTAGTTCTTTCATGGCAATGCTAGAAAAATGTTCAGACTATAAGACTCCTATATCTATAAGACTCTATAAAAGTATTGGCTTCACAATAGCACATACATCATAGTACAGATATTTGTTATATAGAGCTCAATCTGTAGAGGACACTAAAACTGAAAGGAAAAAAAAAGGAATGACACTTGATCATCTGCTGAATCAGGACCAACTGATATACCACTGAGCAAAATCAGTGCCAATTTTTTTATGAACCATAAAACTGTGGGAAACACAGGAACGTAGTAATATCTCCTTCCTCAAACCACAAATTGACTTTCACATTGAGAGACAACTTCCACTATGACCCTCTTAAAATAGCTTTAACCTGCGACCCTGACTGCGCAAAGGGCCACTCTATGACGTCTAACCAGGGCTCATCCTACTTGGGATGACAGATGCCCTTACTGCAGCCAAATGGCACCAGGATGCTACCAGCTCCAGTCAGCGTGAATAAAGGATAACCCCTCTGTACCTCCTCTCCTGACCATGGCTCTGGGCTGAGGCAGCAGGGCAGCAGCAGATTGCTCTGTGAGGGCGGGACTCGTGCTCCGAGGGCGTTCAATAGGGCCCTTTTTTCAACAAGGGGTGATGGCAAGACTAGGGGGCACTTCCTTTGGCCCTGTGGAGGGCCATCCAAAGCAGGATGCAGGCGGGCTATGATTGGAGCATCCCCTGCTGTCCCTCGTGCACAGGTGCAAAGCGGCGGTTGCATAAGTGTGATGACAAATAGGGATATGGTTTCAGCTCTAGCGCTCTGGGAGGGAAGCGGAGAGTGGTGCGTTTCATTGTGTATCTACAAGGGAATTGTGCAACAACAACCACAAATAGTAATCAGAATCAAGGATCTTACAGGCCCCAGTCCAAAGTGAAAAAAATGAATGGGCCCTCTGTATAAAACTGACTTTCAATGAATAAAAAACAACAATGTAATTTGCTTGCTTCCTTGGCTATCTCTCAGTCAGCTTAGTGCCTAATGTAGGCTAATGTTAGGCTATTGTAGCTCCACTTGAGTCAGGGGTGTAAAACAGCGTAATTAGCAATACAAGGTGGTCCAATAAAGACATTAAGGGACCCACCCCACCTGCACTGTTGGTAGTTACGCCACTGTTACAAATACAACAATAACAGCAAATCAGGAGCAGAAGTATGTAACTAGTAAGCTGCATTAAAACAGTCTTTGCATTCAGTAGTTCTGTCCCCTTTCTTCTTTGCATGGCATCATTTTTGGCATAGCCATTTACAGATATCAGACTCTGGCTTGGAGCCTATCACTAATGTTTTAGCCACTAAGCATTTTTCCCGTTTATTCAATCCACAAGTTTAAATCCGGTTCTGCAACTTTATTTACTCTGAGAGTATAGGCAAAGCTCAACAACCAAACCAGTTAACATAAACAAACTAGCCGCGTAAACCTAACAGGGGCCCGCATACTTTCTCGTTTGGCGAAGTGTCAGGAAATATTTTGAGGCAATGCCAAGGTGACCTTTGCTGGCAACAGGAGAGACTCATAACAATGAAAAACTTAATGTTATGCAGTGTTATTTCCTGCTCCCAAAGCCAGGAATATACTCCAGTTTGGAGCTCGCCTCGCAATCTATCCTCTATTTATTCACCGCTGGTCTTAGAAGTGGCGCCAGTTGCAGTTCCCTGACGCTCTCCTTGCCCCATGACAATCAACAGGAACAAGTGTGCGATGTCCTCGCTCTGTTTCCACTCAGATAGAGGCAGTCTGAGGCCCATAATTGATTAACAAGGAAGAGACATGGGAAAGAGCAGTGCCTGCAGTTATCTAAGGCTCTATCCCTCATGCGTAGCAGGAATGCAAAGGATCTTATTACTCTTCACACATGGTGCAAGATGCAAAAGATTAAAGAACATGTTAAAAAATCTATAGCATGTGCATTCTCGCAGAGAAGCCACTGAAAAACACACAAAGGTGAGCACACACTCTTTCGCTTGTGTGATTTATTTGCCAAACCTAAGTTAATGAGTAAACGGGCAGATCATTTAAGTTTTTACCTCTTTCTCTGATCTCAAGACTAGTC